CTCTACGTTTTAACAACCGGAATGAAGACTGCCAGATGTGTAACAGTGAAATAATGTTGGCCCAGTGGCACAATGGGTTAAGTACTGGGCTGCTGGCCACAGGACTGCTGGTTCAAATCCCACCAGACAATCTGAGGGAAGGAGACATGGCTGTCTGCTCCCAAATCCAAAGATTGCTAGTCTTAGCAACCCTACAGAGATAGGGTCATTGTGAGTTGGCATCAACTTGATGGCAATGGACTTGGGTTTTGATAATGAAAAGAGTCACGTTGGTTAGGCATGCCATCTGGCCACTGCCCACCATCTGTGCATTAGTGGAGGGAGCTACAAGACAGGCTGTTGGCGAGAGAGGTGTGGTGGCTGGCTTGGAGGCTGCATTCAACCTTCTAGCTCTTCTGGGCCACCAGTCTTATTCCTGGTTCTTCTCTCTTCCTTACACGAGATTCAATTTGGGGAAGGAGATTGGTTTGTGAAGAAAGAAAATGGGTCTTTCAGTTCAGTGCTGCCTCCAGCAGAATGCAAGCTGGAAGCTCCCCTCCTGGTAACACTCTTTCCCAGCTCCTGGAAGAGCACAAGAAACAGACCACATATGCTGGGGCTTCTACCAAGTCCCGTCAAAGCCCAGCCTTTGTACACACAGAGGCGACAGGAGCACCAACCACTAGAGATCCTAACCAACTTCTCTACTAAGAAGGAATGTCGTCTCACCCCCTTCTCACCATCTGGCGGAGCACGAACAAGAGGTTGTTAAGTAATTTGTTTAAAATTAATGTTACTGAGTGATTATATTCAAATCTGACCCTTATCTCCCAAGGCCTTCTGAACTACACTTCCTATTTAAGAACTCAGCCTCAGGATTTTCTCCCCCACGGTAAGCTTGAGGAATTCGCCATATTTTCTAAGTAGCCACGGATCTCATCCATGAGGGAGACGAGACACAGAGTAAGGGCAGGGTGATGTGTGGCGGAAGAATCCCTATGTGGGCAAAGAGGACTTAACATGTTCCTGCCACAGCTCCTAAAGGTCAAGCTGTCCCTGTGAAAATTACTAGGATTCACATGTCAATATTGGAATGGACTTCGCATATTTATAAGGACCCCAAGAAAAAGTGTCATTGTTCGGGAGACTTCCAATTCAGAATCTCTGACTATGCTATCAACAGCTGTAAATAGGATTTTCTAGGTGTGGCTATAAAGCATGGGAAATAAAGAAAATGTTTACTTATCTTCAAACACCAGTAGTTATCTATTTGTGTTTTAGGAGCCAGTGTCCGCTGCATGTGGACATTATTTACAAAGGTTTAATAAACCCAATACTCAACATATTGTTATTGGCTCATCCATAATGTTTTATGACTGTAAAATCCTACTGACATTTTATAGTCTAGAATTCTGTCTGTAGGAAATTCAGAAACTTTTCCTCTGAAATGTGACAAGCTTTTATTGCAATGATATCTCCAGAGCCTTGATATTCAAAGAAGTGTTTTCATGCAAAATTGTCAATGCTGTTTCTTTAATGCCAATTAAGTATATTGTTGGTGGCATCTAATAGCAATTTTAAAATTCTGGTTATATCTGGCATCTTGGGTAATTTAGGTGCAAGAGAATAATCTTCAAATCTCCCAGAATGATTCCTTGCAAATAAATAGGGATTAAATTGTAGGAAATAGCCGAGCGAATGAAAACGCACTAGGATTTCATTCCAATAGCCTGGGCCTTTCTCTGTGGTACATGACAGCACGCATTCTCCGTGCAGATGAGACAGTGAATTGTCTACACGTGGTGTCTTTATCCTTCGCCAGTCACTGTACTAAATCCACCTTCTGCCTCACTCCTGTAATCCTCACAGAGAGGTAATCGTCTCCAGATTACAGGGAAGGCAGCTCAGGAGTACAGGCAAGTACTTGACTGCAGGCAGGTGGTGGTTCCCTGGAGCTTGCCGCCAACGTTGCTGGGCAGTTCACAACAGGGACGGTGCCCTCGCATCCCCATGGAACCCACTGATGGCTGCACAAGTTCTGTCACCCACTACAAAGCCAGCCTTGCCCGCTAGTCCATGCAGCGGACTACCTCTGTGGGCCCATTTTGTGGTTTTGCCATATTGGTTGTTCCTGTTGGCAAGCAATTTTCAGAAATGAAAACTTTTATAACATTTGTATAAAAAGCATGGCTCTTGCATATTTCCCCCCCAAATGATGTTTGGTGGGAGAACAAACCAGACAGACGTGACTCTTTCTGGCAAGCAGTGTGGGGTATCAAGGTCACAAAGTGTCCAAGGTCACTAGGTAGTCGATGGCGTCAAAATCCAACTGTGAACTGAAGGTGAACATTTTTAAAAAGGATATAGTGTAGCATCAGACCTCATCAACTTCACAAGGGGAAAGAGACTCAAGATCAGTTTACACCAACGACGACGCTCTATGTAAGAGACCAGTCTTACTGACTCTGACATCTCTACTTCTGACAAGGCAGGCTGTCCTTCTCAGTTGGGCTCAATAAGTGGTGCTGATGGCCACACAGAACTCACAGGCCATACTTAGTAATGGAGCTCATCATGGAAGGAACAACTTACAAGTCAGGCTCCGGAATGACTAGGGCACCATCCTTCGACCAGGATGGCTTCTTGGCCATGCTTCTAGGCAGGCCGCTCTCACTGCAGGGCAAGATTCCCTCCTGGAAAAATGAATCCTTAAAAAGTATTAGGTTTTACATGATATGTCAAATATAAAACGCATCAGACTTAGGAACTTTAGGTTTTTGATTTAGAAATTGGTCAGACTAGAAGTAGATTATTAGAGTCTGCTTAAATTCCCAAAGTCTGTTCTTATTTGTTAAGGATGATGTACATCTTTGTAGGGGTTCTGTCTTACCTGCCCCTCCTGCATATACTACTAGTCATTTCACAAACAACCAAAAGAAGAGTGTAAAATTGAAACACTGCACACATTTCCGGTGAATTTATTTTAGAAAAGCAAAGGTTACCATTGGTGCCATTGATAGGCCATCAAGAATTCAACAAGTTGGTAATACACATTCAAAACCTTTACATAGTTCAAAATGAAAAATAAACAAAAACTGTCCATTCTTGGACTCAAGACACATTCAGAAACAAATAAACAGATAAAAATAAAATGGCAAACCTAATCACACAAATTGATCGTCCCAATACTTCACATTGATTTGAACATTTCTGCATAACAAAAACACCAGAGATTTCCCCCTTGCCCAACCTCCATTACTTTATGAAGCCACGATGAAAATAATTACTTTCCGCAAAAACAAAGTCCCGTGAAGCACAGCACAAGAAGATAGAAGCCCACCACACTACCAGCAGCCACCGCTGGTGACTCCTCATAGACATGCCCTTCCTTCTCCCTTCTGACAGCTGGCACCTTGGGGTTAGCTCCCAATCACATTCCAGGGAGAAGTGTGTGGGAGGAGGAACATTTGGGGTCAGAACCACCTCAAATAAAGTTTATATGAGATTAGCTGGAGAAATGAAACAAACATGCAATTGCTCTCTGAGATATCGGTACGTGTTCTCCAAGGACTGGGCACAGCAGCATCTGGAGGAGTCCTGGGTTGTAGAAACAGAACTCTTACAAGGGAAAGAGAAGGGAATTTCCCAGTTAGGGAAGGGCATTTCCAGTGACACAGATGCAAACATCAACGATCCACACTACCTACCTTCTCCTGCTAGAACCAGTTATTGGAGGGCCACCTCGGCTCTTAAGTATCCACAAAGGAAAGCCGCTTTCCTAGTGTGCTCTGGTTACACTTGAGCAGGAAAAGCATGTGAACAAATGTTGGTAACTTGCTCTGTGAGCAGCCTGACAAACCCAACTGTAAGGAAGAAAGCAAGCTGATCCCCCACACGCTGCCTTGTCCCCGTGGACCTGAGGAAGGTCCATGGCACAGGCAGTGGGAAGTCTCGGAGCGCACAGCAGGGTGACCGGATTGTGTCCTTTGTGCTGCCCACGGAGGCCCCTCACCTAGAGCGGCTGCGGCAGTGCTACACTCCAGGCTAGAAGCATGCAGGTGACTCACGAGCAAGCTCGGCGAACACAAAGGCGTACACCCACACAAAGGCATTTGGGGGAGCAGAAATCTCTCTTCAGCCTTGGCATCGTTAACCTCCACTCACTGCGACCACAACCCCAGCTAGGCAGCGCCTGGGAGAGAAGATAGGGATGCGGACTGAACATGCACACAGTCCGTGCAATGTCTTGTGACTCTGTCAGAAACCCTTGCTATCCCTAGAGGAAGCTTCTTGCCACTGGCAGGAATTTCCCCACAGTCTGTGTGTGGATACTTTAAGACCCAAGATTTTTCTCCCTCCCTTCCGGGAGTTTCTCAATGAGATTCTCTTTTGTGGGAAAACGCAGTCTGTGCCTCTCAAAAATCTTTATCTTGGGACGTCAGGGGACGGAAGCTGCTGTGACACAAGCCTGATCAGAGCATGACCTTCACCTTCGGAGAGTATCCTCCACCGCTGGCTGGAGATGATTCTACCTGAAATCAAGAGGATGGGTCCATGCGCATGGGTCTCCAGTTTGTGTGTGAGAACGCTGACCTTCCTGTGGGCTGAAATTCTGGGACCCTGCTTGTGTCTCATCAATAAAAAGCCACGGTGCCGCAGACCTGAAGCACGAGCACTGAGCTATTCAAGACTAAAAGCAGGAGCAGGTAGACTCAAGAAAGCACTCGCTAGTCATCCCTTTGTTTGAAGATTTGAGTTTCAGCGTTTTGGTTTTGTCATGATGGATAAGTCATCAGAAGTGACATAAACTGTTTTTTAAAAAGTATAACAATGTAAAATGAGGGGATTATGAGGCTGCAGGGGGAGGGGGACAAATAAAAAAAGAGCTGATACCAAAGGCTCAATAGAAAGTAAATGTTTAGAAAGAATGAGGGCGACATATGTACAAACATACCTGATTCAACTCATGTATGGATTGTGATAGAGTTGTATGAGCCGCCAATAAAATAATTTTTTTTAAGTGTTAATGAAATCCTTTACTTTGGCTAACTCCATTACTTGAGAAATGGCCACCCCAAAAGTGGTCAACCGAAGAAAACTCTCAAGTTCCGCTGAAACAAAAGCCTCCAGAGAAAAACAAACCAAAACAAGAAATGAATCTATACCAAACACACCACACGGTTACTGGAAAAACTACGGACTGGCAAGCCAGGACCTGGGGAGAAAGTCCTACAGCACTGAACTGTGGACGGAAGCTGGGAGGCTGGTGTGGGTGAAGGATTTAGGGGGACAGAGGAGAAAACTAGGGAATTTCATTGCACTGAGCTCGACTTCCATTGTTTGACATGCTGACAAGGTAATTACTCATATCAACACAGATACACCAGTTATATTAGCTAACAGACTTGTGGTCAATAAATTTCATATATACATATATATATACACACATATGTAAATATACACACACATGGAGTATAAGTTATCATAAAGAGTGATATATTACTTTTTAAAAAGCAGCAGAAGCTTTTTACCAAAGGAAAATTGAAAAGAAATTCCAAGATATAAAACAGACCCAAAACAAAACAAAACAAAACAAAACAAAAAAACCATAAAGTACACCGTTCTGAGGTGGGCTTGGCCAAGGTTAGGTGGGGGAGGCAGAAGCCTCCAGTCCTGTGAGGGCACACTGTACACAGCCCGAGCTTCGGCTGTCCTGTCCCCACACACAGGCCCGCCCACCTGAAACCTTCACGATGATACAACATTAACAGAAAGATAACCAGTAGCATTTTCTTTCCTTGAAAAATAACACCCAAAAAATAACATGATGATGCTATACAAAACCAACGGACTCATTTCAATATTCAGATGCGAAAAATGAGCAGTTCTCTTCAGAGTGCGTATTTTTTTTTTTTGAGATTTAATTTTGTCCATATAAATCTTATCCAAAATATATCAGGAGGATGGATGGGAGGTGGAGGTATGACTTGTCCTATGGTGAACAGGTCTTCTAGCTGACTGGCCAAGAACCGCAACCTTGACACACATATTCAGAGAGAAAAACATGCAAACCTAAGTGATCTGTTACAGTGACAACTAGAAAATACACTTGGATGGCAAGTCTTGTTTCCATATGCGTGTGGGGTCTCTCTGTTCCAGACCCCCCAAAAAAACTTCTCCCCCCTCCCCACCCATTTATAGAAGGAACGCCTTTAAGCCATGCCGTCAGTATTAGCCACACACGTCCCCTTCGGCCAGAGTCAGGATTAAACATCTCAATTTAATAAATAGACTCTTGAGTAAGTGGAAATCCTAGCCAGACGGTGCTTCCTGCTACTGGTGGGGCTCAATCTTTCTTCTTGTCGGCTGCGTCCTTGGGTGGGGGCACAGGCTCAGCAGGTGGCAACGGAGCCTCCAAGCCATTTCGCCCTTGATGCTCCAGCCTCTCCTCCATCAGTTCTTGGTTCTCCAGGGTCTCAAGCTCGCTTTTGGTCAGCTCGTAACGCTCTTCCATGTAGCCTCCGTCGGAGTCTGCCGAGTAGATGCCGTAGCACATGATGCTGATGACACCCAGTGGCAGGCCGAAGAGAAAGCAGCCCATGAGTGGGGAGCTCTTGAAAATCGACTGTGGGGAGAGAAGAGACAGACACTCACTCGCTCACTCTCAGAGACAGGCACCCGGGGACTCGGCCACTGCTTCTTCCACATTACAGCTCAGAGGGCTTCCATGCATGCCAAGTACAGGAACACTTGGGGTCCGGCCTTAGTTTGCAATGTGCTCCTGCCCTTCTTGTGGTCGGCCCTGGATGACTGGCCAGGGGAAGGAGAACACAGTACGTACCTTTTTGGCTAAGCTGTACTCAGAATAAAGAAAATAAAAGATGAAATATGAACTGCAGTTCCAGTGAATTAAAGTCAACATTTGCACAGTCATTAAAAGTTATTGTCAGAGATACAAATCGTGTGCATGTACATGTGTTGATGTACCCCTGCTAGTAACAACCGAGACGGATGCCAAACTCCCCATCACCGTTTCTGGTGGGCATTGATCCCCCTCCCACAAACCTCATAATTCTCTCCTCCAGCTGATCTCTCTAGGCTGGGGAGATTCTGCACTTCCTTTGTCATCACAGCTACCGTCATCCTACTGTCCCCTAAATGAGGCCATTTCAAAATATAAACACTGACTAATCAAGTATCCTGCAAGGTAAAAAGACCCGTTTCCTTATCCTGTATCATTCCAATTTACCACCGTTAGACATACAGTACCTGCTATTTTGAACGATCAAGGGCACTGAACAGACTGTTGTAACTTACCAACACGGTAGTCCTCGCATCAAACATTATTCTTTTCAACCTCTGCAAGATGCTGTCCCCTCCTTGGGCCTTCAATTTAACAGGGACAAAAACAAAACAAAATTTACTGAAGTACCGTTCCCTCCCCTTTCTATGCTACCTCAACAAGCACAGGTTGAAAGGTGCCCTGAGCCCCAAGCCTGGTGAGCCCTGGGCCTGGCCCCCTGAGCCGAGAGCCCTGAGCCAGCGCAGACGGGAGAGGAAAGGAGTGACGCAAAGGACAGGGGCCGAGGGAGGCACCCTTGTTCCTGATGATGGCCTCAGTGTGCACGCATGCTGTTCACCGGGACCAGTCCCTGTGTTCTATGGGGAGACAGGTGTCTGGAAACTGCCAACAGAGCGCGAGCACCCCTCACCAGGCCCAGCAGGTGCACCCACTGGGAAGTCTTACTCTGTGACCAAGGGGATTGTGCCGACTTCCCGGCCTTGACCCAAAGTAGCAATGCTTGTAGGATGCCAGCCAACTCGCAAATCAAGCTTGTGCACAACCGAAGTGGAAGGGAAGTGCCGCCAGACTCCGTGAGATCAAGGGCAGCTCGTGCTTGCCACGTTTCCACTGAGTGAGGGCATGTGCGGCACACCGCCTCCCCAGGGAATGGTGTCACTCCCTCTCTGTGTAGAATCCATTTTACAGAGAATTCGTTTACAGAAAACAAACAGAAAATGAAAACGTGCCGTCATTATTCTGCGACACATTTTTCTGGACTGCCTTTCACACTTTCCCCTCGGGCTCAGGTTTCCAGAGCATTCGTCTCTGAAGAGTCCTACCAGCTGAAGCCCATTCTACAAACCACAAGAAATCCAGCAGTCCTATTGCCCCACAGAGGAGCCTTGGTGGCCCAGCGAGTTACACATCTGGCTGTTAACCCAGAGGTCAGCAGTTCGAACCCACCAGTCCTTTGCAGGAGAGAGATGAAGCTCTCGGCTCTCATAAAAGAAGAGTTATGGTTCCGTAAATACACAGGGGCAGTCTGCTCTGTCCTGCAGAGCTGCGAGGAGAGAGAAGCCACCTGATAGCAGTGGGTGCTGTCTGTCTAGTTTATGGCCCACGAGCTATACCACAAGTTGTCCTGGTTCATGCACTGGGCTGTGATCCGCAAGGCTGGCAGTTCAAAACCACTGGCAGCTCCTCGTGAGAAAGAAGGGGGTTTTCTACTCCCATAAATAGTCTCAGAAACACAGGAGAAGCTCTAGGCTGGCCTAGAGGGTTGTTATCAGTCGGCACTGATTTGATGGCAGTGATTTGAGGGTTTTGAAGCTGTGCTTCCAGAAAGTCCCACACCCTACTCATCCCTTCCTCCTTGAATTTGAATGCCAGCAATATGTCCCGGTACTGGGACTACCCACATCTCTACAAGGGAGCACCGCATTGGCTCCTCTGAGGAGAAGGAACCTCTTGGGTCCTCCCTCCGTGTTGGGGTGTCTCTGTCCGCTCTAAGGTAGAGAAGCCTGGACAGAGTCTGCCCCAGGTGACGCCCATGGCTGTGTCGGACCAGCACGAGAGGCAAACGTGCCACATGCCCTCTCCTCTCCCTCCCATGACCAGCCCTTTGAAACAGAAGCAGACGACTTACCTCCACCGTGCCGTTCAAAATGTTATCAATGAACCGGACCATGTCATGGACATTCCTAATCTGTCGGTCCAGTACATAGTATTGTTGGTTTGAAGTATTCAGCACAACCACCGTTGGCACCTTCAGTTCACTGAAAAACATGACAGCAACGAAATTAAAAAGCACATTAAATACACAGAAAACAAACACCAGCAGAGCCACATCACGGCGCAGTCACCCCAGTTCTAAATGGAGGCACCAAGCGTTCCTCCCCAGGCCGACGTTAAGACATGCTCCACAGGCCCATCGATTCAATGTCCACCTGATCATTACGGGAAGACACTGTGGTCTGCCAGGCAATCTGAAGACTCGATTAAAAAGTAGGGCTACAACGATTCTTCATGAACTACCTGCCCACGTCCAGGCAGCAATATTCCTTGTTTAAATAACACCTCGGTGACTCAGACACCATTGCTGGGAGCACAACGGTACCCCGACAAGAGCAGTCTCTCTGGAGAAACACAGCGTCAGGCAAGCAGCTTAGCTATGTTCTTCCTTTATAAGTTTTAAGAGGTGGGGTTATCAGTCTTGGCACACAAATGACATGAGAAAGTCTGAGTTAAACATTTAGCACACTCTTTTGCACATAATAAATGCTACCACAAATTCTAACGCCCACACACATGCCACCTGTCCTTCAGAGTGCGGCCCTCGTGCTCCGGCAGTGACTCAACGGCCAATCCAAACAGGGCATCACATGACCACTGTCTGCTATTCAGGGCCAGGGTTTCGTGTCACCATGAAGCAGCGTCAAGTTCCATGTGTCACCCAAATCACTCTGTGGTCTGGTGTGGCCACTGTGTGGCTGTGGCTGCCCTGGAGGCCTGCCATCCCGAGGCTGGACCTGCCTCACAGTGCTGCCTGCACAGCAGCCCTCCTCCCGCACACTGGCTGCCTGGGCGGAACTAAAGATCTCTGGGGTGGCAGCTGAGCCCTTAACCATTGGCCACCAGGACTGCACTGTCACTATATTATCACCCAGAGCAAGGATGGCCAATACTGCCCTGTACCATGTCTCTTCCAGGTGACTAGCAGTTGTTCCTCCCGGAAGCACGTGGCTTAGCAGGGGTCCACACGTGCTCCAGTGGCCGCGTTTGCTGCTGGTTCCAGTCATCCCCAGGAGAGGAAACTGCCAGGCTTGAGACAGGCAGGCAAGTGGAGCCAATGGAACCTGTTGGCAGTCTGTACTCACATCTACCCCTTCTGAGTGAGCCCACCCGAGACCCAAGAGAAAATCCACAGCCCTCGACCGAAGCTACTTGCACCAGTGAGTGTGGTGTTCAGCACCACTGAGGAGCAGCGGTCTGAGTGCGTGATCAGAAACCAAGCTCCCTGCTCCAATCGGATCCACCCAACAGGAGCGGAAGCTTGGCACTGCTGCATGGTCGTCAGTTAGTGTAACACCGAGCCACAGACAGACAGGCAAACCCTTGTGAAGAGCTGGATCCAAGCCAGGCATTCACACAAAAGTAGCTTCTATGTAAAAAGAAATCCATGACTGAAACCAGTGTTTGTTTGGAAAGAGTCTGATAGGAATAATGATGGGGAACACCATCTCATTCTAGTCGTTAGTCATAAAACCTCAGATACAAAATCATCCAATAGGCCGCAGATCTACTAGCACTCCACTAATTTCAACTTTGTACTGTGACTTAGGGAGGCTGTTACATGATCAGATCATCACTTTTGCATTCAACACATCAAACCCCACGATGTTTGTCCTGACCCTCCTCCACTGTATTCTCTTCTCTTTCACCCAGTCAACCTCCGTGGACTCTCTAGAACAGTGTTCCCCAAGTGCGACATGGCACCGGAAGGCTCTAGGTGTGCTGAAAAAGCAGACATCACGGGAGCCCCGGTGTCACGCTGGGTTACGCGCTGGGCTGCGATCCACAAGACTGGCAGTTTGAAACCACCAGCAGTTCCTTGGGGAAGAGATGAGGCTTTCAACTCCCATAAAGAGTTACAGTCTCAGAAACCTACCGGGAAGTTCTACCCTGCCCTATGGGCTCGCTGTGAGTTGGCATCATCTCAGTGGCAGTGAGTTTGGTTAAAAAGAAAAAAGAAAAAGCAGACATCTACAGTTTGTCCTGAATCATTTGCTAACATATGAAAGTTTTTAATTGCCAAGGAAGAAAGTGATACTTTTCTTCCTGAGAAAGTGAGTGCGGGAGTCTACGCTTTAGTTACTTCCCCACCCCTCCCACCCAGGTAACTGACAAACATCGGGGGTGGAGGGGAGTGGAGGGTAATGAAAATCTTTATGTTGACTTTTCTTTTTTCTAACGGTGATCTCATATTTGTTCTTTGGTGATTGACTAACTTCACACCGCATGATAGCCTCCAAATCCCTCCCTCCCTCCACCCTCCCTCCCTCCCTCTCTCGACCCACGCTGTGAGGTGTTTCCGTCTCCTCGTCTTTCTTTAACGATGTGTGGCGCTCCACTGCGTGTAGGGACCAGCGTGTCTCTACCCCTTCTTGCACCAAGGGGCATTCAGGTCGTTTCCATCCTCTTGCTGTTGTGAGTGGTGCTGCGATGATTGTGGGCGGGCGTCTGTCTGCTCACACTGTGGTCCTTCTTCCTTTAGGGCTCGCTGGGTCTTAGGTCCTCTCTCTTCCCAGTGTCTGGGAGGCAGCGCCGTACCACTTGCACAGTGGTTGTACTGATCTACCTCAGCTCACTGAAGTGTCCCATTTCATTCCTAACACATTTCCATTGTCTTAGATTCTACTTTTCCAATCCCCTGTTCTGCCCATTAATGGCTATTTGCATTGGTTTCAATTCATTTTAAGTCATGCTACATCGGCAGAAGGTTCTCAGAGCTCTACTACTCCCACATCACGATGATCCCATTGAAGGAGACCTGTCTTTCCCGGTAGGGTTCCGAGTGCCTTGCAACCCGAGGAACACATCTTCGGGCACTTTGCCAGGCAAGGTTTCGAGAGGACTCCAAAGATGTTGACGGGCCAAGGTTTTCAGGAGGTGAATGTGCTGTTTCTGCAGTAAACTCTCTGTCCTCAGGTCAACATTGATTCATAGCGAGTGCCCTGTGGATTGCTGAGACTCTAACTGTTTCGGGAGTAGAAAGGCCATCTTTCTCCTGTACACTGACTGGTGGTTTTGAACGGCCAATCATGTTGATCACAGCCCAACACATAACCCCAATTCCACCCTAGTGCAATCAACACTGTGTACAAATATCTGTTTACAATCTTGTTTTCAATCCTCATTTTACTACTTGCAGTTATTGTACTTGGAAACTTGGTGGGTATGAAACACTAATACTTATGATCTCAGAAACAAATCAGGCAGAGGTGAATTTAATACAGAGCTGACCCAGTGTGCAGAGACACGATCACGGCAGGCTGAAAACATGAACGATTCAGAAAAGGGGTCACACTGTGCACCGCGCGAGAGGCATGCCCCGCTCCACAGAGAGGGCCCAGTGGGAGCCCCCTAGGAAGATTCTCACTGAAAGACGCAATCTAGGTGCAGCAATATGCCCTCCCCTATCGTACTAAGTCTACATGAGGGTGAATGGTATAGCGGAGTTGTGCTTATGGCTCATTTGTAAATTCCATTTAAACAGTTATCTAATTTAAAACAGCACTAAGAGCCTGCAACAATTTTATTTTCTCCTTTTAGGAGGGTTTGATATAGTATGCAGACTTAAAACACAACAGTTAAGAAAGGGAGAGTATGTATCATTCACCTCCACGTTATGCTTACAGGCTAACAAATTCCTTGCTTTTCATGGGTTTCCCTGGCCACCATAACTCAGTCACTTCAATGGGGGTCCCACGATGGTCTCCTCTACTCTCATCTGTATTCCCTGCCCACAAGGAGGCAAAGGGTGACTTCTATTCCCTATGAGGTCTACGAGTGTGCAGATCCTAAGGAATTGGTTCACGTTGTGTGTGTTGTCTAATTAATGATTGTAAAGTTCTCCTAGTGTTTCATGGTTCACTTTTCAATGGCTTTAACAGGTTTAGGGGTATCCTATTTAATTCTTGCTCCAAGTGATGTGGGTCTTACATCTTTGTCTGCCTTGCTCGAGAGTTTATCAATCGAATGGGCTTTTTGGCAAGAATGAGCATTTTTGTTTCAGGTTATTCCATTTTCAATTTTCAATTGCTTTTTGAAATTACTACATCCTTCTGCTTGCTTTGGTTTTATTTTGCACTACCTGTTCTAATTTCCTGAGGTAGGTCTTGGTTTGTTTTTTTCAGACTCTTCCTGACTTTTAATCAGCCATCAGTGCTAAGAACTTCCCATCATAGCACATTTTTAACTGCATCCGACATTTAAAACAATTGTTTTATTAATCAAGTTTTCTATAACTCTGAATCATGAGCTAATATGTTTTGCAGTATACAACAGTATTAAGCTTCAGTAAGGTTTTGAATGTGAAATTGCAAAATGAAAGTATTTGATGACAATATCTGCATCCAAATATGTCAATTAGTTTATCTGTGCCCTTCTGTCCTCCGAAACCGAAATGTTAAAATAGCTAGGAAAATCAGTTAGCAGTTTACTTACTCCATCAGCAAGCTATTTATATATTCATTTCCATCCATATGGCCAAAGTGGAAATCCCTAACCAACAACAAAAAGAAGAGAGTATTAGACACACAAAAAAAGGGCAAACAATTCAAAGAATGGAACATCAAGGCTTGCTCATCACTGTACACAAGAACACTATTGTGAAACACACAAAACTATCCAAAGAGAATGTGAATCCCATCAGCTTTCAGTCATAAACACACACGATACACAATTGTAACAACTTAGTTCATTGATGCACCTTTGAAAGTACAAAATATTTCTACTGTTGCTTTATTAGAACATAAAACATAATCATTAGAATACAAAACACAACTGGATAAAACGAAAGGAAACTTTCAGAATCTGAAGCACCTACCTACGGAAGTGGGCTTTGTAATCTTGGGCAACTTCCTTAATAACTGACTTTAATCTGTGGAAGAATAAATACATGAATATTTCGTCACCTATTTTGAAAATACAGTAACTAAATTCTAACATCTGCTACCCTAGCTAAGTGCTGCAGGGAAAGTAAGAGACCATATAAAATATCTGAAACCCTATAAAATCTGAACTGCATGACGTTTGAAGCTTAAAACTATTTCAAGGTACCATACCTGGTATGTTCAACTGATGTATTTTTCTCATCAATAACTGCAATAACCACAAGTTTTCCTGAAATTAAGAATGACATATCTAATTTTAATAACACTCATTATGCAAAGTTTTCGTTTATGCTTTTGTCGTTTCCACAGAGTGTAATTGCAACCATCCTACACACGTGCAAACTCCATTCTGAGCGATGCAAGGTCACAGAAGAAAGCAATGAAGGAGCAGACTTCAATCCCTCCAAAATGTGAATGGCAAATGCTTTTTATAACAACATCCATCCTAAAATTCATTATTTCCCCCCAACATAACTTAAAAATCGACCACAGTATCTTACAGGAAACAACAGCCATAGGAAAGGGTTGCTGAATCCATGGGCTCCA